TTGCTTGCATCACGTTTCTTTTGTGGTCACGGCTGTTGGAACCAGTGTGCAACATTGATTCTGAGAATGCATAATCAATAATGAATGTAATACTTTGTTGGTCATAATTCATACATTTTTCAATGCTTGGTAATGATCAAATGTGATTGCGTTTTATGGCGCAAAGCATAAGGGATTTGATGATGAGGAGGATTAATTATATCGCCAAACAGTCAGTAGTTGATTGACTCTGCAGATGGTAGGAGACTATCAGCGGCTACAACCAATACAACCGTGGGGCAAACGTTCACCTCAACGAGTACATTCGATTTGTGTGATGGGGACAGTATGATCTCGAATGCATATTATGATGTGCGATTCGATGAAAATTATGCTGCACCGCACAGAGATGTTGAGCGAATATCGCATTTACTGCAAAAATCGCAGTCTTCGCTGGAAGGCGCTTTTCGTCCAGATGCTCGTAGCGTGTAAGTTACCTCCAGATTCATTCGTTCGTTCTTCACATATGAGTGAAACACAAATTATTTTATGTATACTAACGGTGTTGGAGATTTTAACAGAAATTCAGCGTTATCCATTGGCGTTGCTAGTATCAAGGTGGACTGAAGTTCAGACTGAATGTGCTCAGTTCCACGAGAACTTCAGTCTGAGTGACTATCGATAAACTAATCCTTGTGTTTATTTGAATCAACTCTTAGCATGCGATATATCACTGACAGTGAGCCTTCTTCGCTAAGTTCAGTGCCTCGAGCTTGAACTCTAACCGACAAGCGCTTGACGGAACTGATATTGGTCAATATTTGCGTGCTCGTCCGACTAAAGTATGAAATTTTGATGATTGAAGTTGTCTGGCTCGGTACAGCATGAAAACTATCTTCACAGCTATTCATATCGTTCATTATTTTGATCATGGCCGTATTATGCTGAATGTGATGAGCACTGGCACTTTGAACACCTCAAGAATGAAACACTGCAAGCTCATATGTTTTCTTTCACTCACGTCTACTATTTGGATGTCTTTCCTATTAGGTTTCTGCCGATGATAACAACGGAATCTGCGCGTTTTTACGGCGGATTTGAGTTTTAGATGAAAAGTTTTCTTTCTATTGTGCTTCAAGAGCGCTACACTCCTTTGTCTATCGCTCATTGTCAATGGAATTATACTGCG